ACATCTGGTGAAAATTTCATGTCATTAGCACCTCTAGTAATATATTTACTGAGAAAAATGGTGACGYGTTCAATACTTATTTTACCTGCTGTATTTGGTCTAATCTACCCAAAGGATCAAGGTTGAATTAAATATAATTTTGCTGTACCTAACTTCTTTTGCCATGTTTGTTTTATTTCAGAAGAGGATGTTTCCTGCAGCCCTTCCAAACAAGCCAAATTAGTTCAGCCCTTTTCTAACTGTCCTGATAAGGGTCAGAGCAAATGTGGCCCGCTAAATGTCCTAATATATTAAAACTGTTTCCATTCTTTAGTTTTTTGTTTGTTTTATTTTTCCAGAGACTATGGCTCAGTCAAAGGAAGGTCTAGTTTACCTGCAGACCTGACTTTATCAAAGAATATCTAGATAAGTTTGGAACAAAAAAATTGCAATGACTCTCTATTTTCTGTCTTAAAAGATGTTTTTACAAGAAGGATGGAGCTAAATAACATGTAACAAAAGTTCTCACAGGGTGACAACTAAAAAAATGGCAAAATTATAAAGCGGTGAATATCCTGATGCATCTCAGTAATCCAGGTAAAAAATCAAAAGGAAAAAAATTGTATAGGTCCTCTGGACCTTCTTTAATGAAACGTTTCGTCTCTCTTCCAAGAGACTTCTTCAGTCAGAGTTTCAGGCAAAATTCAGGCAAAAGCGGTGAATACTTTGACCATACAGCTTTTTAATGCAGAACTGCAAAAATGGATCAATACTAACTGATAAAACAATGTATGGAGTAGTTGTCTACAATAAAAGTCAAAGTGAAGTGTTTTTTTAACTATGCACCACCTTTACTGAGTAATAAATGTAACAATATACAAACTTGAATATGTTTAATCCAGAGCCAGGGCAGCTCAGCTCAGGGTGGGGAGGGAGGGGAAAGTGATGATGTGAGATGTGGGTGTGACTTGCAGGTCCAGGTTCAGTATAAACTGACCATGGTTGAAGGGGGAACAAGTAGCACCGCTCCTGTGGCTTTTTGTCCCATCCTTCCTGGCAGCAAGAGACGATGAGAGAGGAAGGCTCTGAGTAGAGGCACTGCGGGGACTCTCACAACGCATAAAACTAGGTAACTCTGTGACCACACACACACACACACACACACACACACACACACACACACACACACACACACA